GAGTAAGGAAACTGGTGAACACACTAGTATAAGATGTAGTGAGGTTATCCTTCAAGGATTTTTGTAGCAAGAAACCCAAATTCACTTTAAATGTCGTTTTCCTCTCCTTTATAAAGTTCTTTTTCGTAGCCAAGTTCCTTGTAGACAAAATAAATCAGCATACAGACTTGATATTAACAATATGTAACAACAACAAAATGAAAATTCGAGACTATTAGTAAGTTAATAACTATTAAGTTAATACTACTTAAAATAATGTAACAAGTTAACCATAAAGGATTAACTTACTAATAGATAAATGACACTTGTAAGCCAGATCTAGGGTTGACTTTCTTTGGACAAAGATTGCAAAGATTTTCTCGTAATCTCATTGTTCCCAATGTGAAGCATCAACCTTTTTCTGAACCAGAGTGAGTTGTAGTTTTGATATGTAAAAGTTGGTATGATGATACCCTAACTTTTAAGTAAATTTATTCAGTTTTATTAGAAATTGTTCGATATACCCTCCATATTGTAAATATTTGGTTTAGTTTACAACTATTATAATATTTTGATACTAAAATAAGAGATTTAGGAGCATTACTAAATCACTTAATGACCTAAAATTGTCTAGCAAACCATTTGATAAAGGACTAGTTAAGCATCAATTGTGTTCATCACAGTCCGAAAGGGGAAAAACATGTCCTATGTTATATAAGGAAGCTAGGATAACATGGCACTCATGTTTAGCATGTAGTTTGGTGCAACATTGGTGTGCCATTTATGTAGGATAGTGCATCTGTAACACCCCGCTCACTACCATGCTAAATTTGTATATGAAAATTCTTATTGATTCAGGCCTTAAAGCCACTTGAACTCATTTAAATTTATCATGTAGCTTTATATCATAATTCGTGATCTAAATATGTAATTTTAATTTTACACTAATTTCGTTATTTTATTTTATTATCATTTTAATTAATTATATATATTATTTTTATTTTTATCTAAAAATAATTTTTAAGAGAACGAAAAAAGGAGAGAAATCCCATGGGAAAACGCCAGCGGGAGAGGCTTGCCTACGCAGGCACCGCGCGCTGTGTATGTGCGTACGGGGGACCAAGCGCAAGACGTGCGCACTGTGCGCATGTCCCATCAACACGGGGTGTGGGGTTGGTTTGTATGAGCATCACGTTACGTGCAGACAGGTCAGTCTGCGCGTGTCACATCGCTCGCGGACAGGGCAGGTGTCGCGCACTGTGCGCACACCGTCCATGCAGTAGGCTTACGTGCAGCGCCCTGCGCGTTGTAGGCCCCTACGGCAGCAGGTTAGGCTAGAGTCGGCAATTCACAGTTGGCCAAGTGAGGCGGACTACTGCCTCGAGTAGTGTGACGCTGGCCCCTAGGGCGTCATACACCATTTTAGGTGGTGTGTCGTTGCCGGTGGAGGATTCTTCCTTTATTTTTTGTCTTGTCGTTGCATTGCGTCAAATCAATCATCTTTCACTCAAATTTCTCTATCCTCACGGGTTTTTACCACTTGGTGCAAATCTAATGGTCTTCATTTTCTATAAATAGGAACCCCTTTCTTCCATTTCCTCATCACTTTCATTTCATTCTTCCATCTTCTAAGAGCTTCGTGAGAGAGGGAGTGATCTAGAGAGAGAAGGAGAAAAGAAGAAGAAGAAAGGTGTAGAAAAATTTCAAGGTTTCGGTAAGGAATTTAATATTTTTTTAAACACTTAAGGAGCACTTCTAGAAAAATAAAAAATTATGAAGTTTGTGTTTTGTGCTTGCATGTTTTATGTTTCCAATAAAGTGATTTGTTCTTGATTTCAAGCATGCTATGTAATTTATAGACACTTGATGATTTGCATATAAATTAAATAATACGAATCTGGTTATATTTGTCTAAAAAATATTTAAAAAAAGGAGAAAAGAGAAGGGGAATGAGCTTGAATGGTTCGAAAAATATGTATCTATATTGACATGCATAATGCATCAAGTGTCTTGTTTGACTTTTTATCTCCGATGGATTTTGGTTTCCCCCTTCCCATCTGGTCTGGAAAGACGAGAGATGATCGCTCCCTGTGGATGACGGCGTACTCTCTGACGAGAGTGGTGACACGAGTATCTGTTAGGGGTCACATTTGGCTAAGTACTGTCGTGACTATAAAATATCCGATAGCACCACTATAGTCGGTATGGCCGTGGTCATAGATCGTACCGTGGTTTGTGTAACGACCCTTGGGTGTTACAGTTTGGCAAGTCAAAAATGTGCATGAGCAAATTGCTATTATATATATATATATATCTGATCTGGTCATTCCTTATGAGTAATTGAAAATTCGTATTTGCCCCCAGAAATGGAAGTCATAATGACTTCGCGAAACATGACACGAAAATCTGAGTATTTCCTTATTTGTTTGATTTTCTCTATTGTTGAGTATGATTTTAATTTGATTGTTGTGATTATGACATGATATTTTTTTTAATAAATATGATTATTTTTATAAAGTAAGAAAGGATTTCGACGTGATCCGATGGTAAGTATTAATGACATAACTATTTATTTTTAAAATCTTATAATATTATTTAAATACTATTTTTTCTTACTGAGTATATGGAACTCATCCTTTTCATACTCCTCACCCTCAGATGAGAAAGATAGTAAGGAACCAACTACTGACCTACCCCTTGAAGTCTATGAGGATCTCGTAGATCCACAAACCTTGAGTGTATGACTTGTACTGTACTCTAATGAGTCCAATCGCATAATAAAAGAAGTAGCCATTTTGTATTTTGATATTTTGTATTTTGTATTTTGTTGCCACTTTTAGCCTCAGTTATATATATGTGTTATTGGAACTAATATATTTAGCTAAGAGATTGGTAATAATTTACTCTGCGGCATATAATTTTTATCATACACTCGTAATCTGTTTTTGTATCTGACACCTTTATGCCTTAATTTGCATTGTGGATATCATAGATAGTATCAGAGCAGTTATGCAAACCAAATCCCTTATAACTAATGCCGTAAGTAGAAAAACCCTTAGGATATCTAGGAAAATAAAGTCATCTTTTTCAAAACTAGACCACCAATTCGTGTTTTCTTTTCTTTTATAGGAATGACGCGAAGAAGACCTTCCGTAAAATGTATCGAAAGAGACCCAGGACCATCTGATCAGGGTCAAGTTTACCAAACTCTTTCAAGCTATCCAAGGATTAACCGCAACCGTAGGACAGAGCTAAGCCAACCCTTGTCAACACCCTGCCCCAGAATACCGAACAACTGAAAAGTCTATCTCTCACAACATAGTGGAGTTTAGAAAACTTAACTCGCCACACTTTAAAGGTGGCCCTGACCCCTTAGTAGCCAAAGCCTAGATCCTGTAGGTAAAGAAGATTTTCTATGTATTAAACCTAACAGAGGAACAGAAGGTTCCCCTAGCAGCATTTATGTTAATCGGTGAAGCAGAACACTGGTGGAAACTTAAGAAGGAAGCTATGTCTATCCCTATCACCTGTGAAGTTTTTATGGATGCATTCTTTGATAACTTTTTCTTAGCCTATGTCTGAGAGGAGAATGAGGAGGAATTTCAAAACCTCTGCCAAGAAAATTTGACGGTTGTCCAATATACAACCCGATTTGTCCAACTATTTAGGTTTGCTCCTCTAATGGTCACCTTCAAAAGTCATAAAGATAGGAAGTTTATGAAAGATCTTCATGCTGATATCTATGATCAGGTTACAATGTTGAGACCCAATTCGTATGCAGAGGTGTTAGAACATGCCCAGTTGATCGAAGATCTTATTTCAGCCAGGCACCAATATATTGCTTGAGTCCGTACCCAACAACAACAATGCCAACAATCCAAAAAAAGATTACTCGATCCAGTAAATAGCCACCCAAATAAACGAACCTGAGTTGCCCTTCCCCTTGCTTTATCCCCCCATACTGGATAACCTACCCGACTTTCCCAACCATGTCAGCATTGTGGTTGCTCGCATGGTGAATTGTCCTGTCGGCATATTAATCATGCCTGTTATTGGTGCGAAAGCACCCAACATCTTATAAAGAACTGCCCTCAGTGGCCGAAGGATGTGACCAGACTTGTAGCACAGGGTCGTGTGTACCACCTAGATGAACCAAGTGCTCCAAAAAGAAATAAAATCTTTATTTCTCCCTAACAATTGAATAAATAGGAATGTGGATGTTGATCCTGTTGTGTATTCCATTATTATTGTTTGTAACTTTTTGGAAGTTTTTCTTGTCGAATTACCTAGCTTGTCTCCTCTGCAAGAGATAGAGTTTTCTATCAACCTACTTCTTAGAACCCAACTAATTTTGAAACCTACCAATCGCATGAGTCATGCTGAGCTCGCAAAACTAAAAAACCAACTTTTTAAGCTTCTTGGTTAGAAGTTTATTCACCCTAGTCACTCCCCTTGGGGTGTTTCAGTGCTATTTGTGAAAAA